ATCCGGATATCACACAGTTGTGGTGGAAAAATAGGTAATATAGAAATGACTATAAAAAAAGAGAATATTAAAATAGGAACGATTCTAGGAAACAGCTGGTGACCACGTGATGCAGCAAGGCGATATCCCATTCGTGTATTCCGTAGTATTGTTTGTTAGATATTTTATCGAAAAAGTTTGTTGCGTTTGTCATACTTTATATAAATCATAGTCAAAAACGAATGAGTCCCAAATCACACTTAGGGTTCTTTTACAAGTGGCTGATTTAAATATTAAGGTTTTTTTTAAAAAAAGCCTCAACTATAAATTGGTTAATATTTTGAGATGTAAAGTAATTCTCTCATACAGTATACTTTCAGAATGTCATTAATAAATTATAAAAATACAATTATTATTAATAAAAGTTTTTTTTTCGTATCTTTTAAATATTATATATCGAGTAACAAGAATTTATTACTTTTTGTTAGTTAAATTTGTCACTGAATAGTAAAATTCTTACTAATAAAAAATTATCATAAACAACAAAAAAAGCAAATAAATAAATAAAAAATAAGTTTTTTGAATCTTGTTTACGTTAAGCAATCTAATAATAGCTTGTTTACGCCAACGAGTTCAGTATTTAAAGATTTTAATTGACCTGGAAATTAAAAGTTTATTACAATAAACAAAAAAAAAATGACTACCTATATTCAAATTATAGAAGATGAACCAGATTTTACTCCACATAATGGCAAACCAGTAACAAAGTTAGAGAGTTCACCTAATATGAAATATATTGCTACATGGAGTGAGGAAGATAAATCAGCCGTTGGCTGGTATATTGCTGATAATGAACATCAGTTAAAGCATGAATATATGATTTCACAGGAAGATATTTCACAGAATGATGTTTTTAAATTGTATTCAATTAAGGATGTCGATGTAATTACGATTAAATCATTTGCCGTTTCTGATAATAAACAAGTTTCTATTCCAATTTATTCAGTCAAAGAAAAAGACATTGGTAAGTTTTTC